AAGTGACCGTGGATTAGAGGATGAAATTGCTACCTTTCCAACCACACTGGTCAAACCAACAGCCTATCAGTTCTCTTTTCCTCCAGAAAGGAAAGCAAAACAATCATTATTTACATGAAAAGTGCGTGAGAAACTCCATTACAAAAATGTAAATATCAGAAGGCTTAGAAGAACTTTAGAAGAACAGGGTGACATCCTTGCCAGAGCTGCCAGGTTATTCCTGGAGGGATTCATCCCAGGTGGAGATGAATTTCCCTTTTTTAGGCACCTTTAGCCCTAAAGGTCGTAAAATGAGTTAGAAATAAAACCTGGGTGTTTTCTCCACCCCAACCTGTTTGGGGTGTGAAGCTTCCTTATGCATGGAGGTGTTCCCGTTTGGCTGCTTTGGGATCAAGGGACCTAGGGACTTGTTTGGCATTAACCTCCCTGGGATTAAACCCTGTGATTTATCCCTGTGGCCTTTCAGGTTTTCCCATTTATTTCTTTCCCCATTGGGAGCCATCCCCAGGTATCCCAGCACAATCATTCCTGGGTTTTCCTTATACCTCTCAGCCAACCAGATTCACCTCAATCCCAGCTGGCAGCCGTGTGCCCAGACAAACAGAAGCCAAGACTTCATGGCAGTAAGGAGGAAGAGGAGTCCTGTTGCCATCACGGCTCTGGAATGGGGCAGGGCTGAGCATTGCTGCAGGGGTTGTCTCTTCTTAAGACAAATGATAATCACAAACTGTTCCTCCTCTAATCCCTTTCGTGTTCAGACAACCTGAGGTAAATAATCTTCAGAGAGAAATGGTATGTTCAACTCGACAGGGTCCTTTTCAAAGCCTTTTCATCTCCAGGGCCTTTGATGTACTTGGGAGCACCTTCCTGGCTCTGCTCCTATCACTGGATATGAGGGTTGAGCCCAATTCCATACCTTAGCTTGGAAAATTTGGGGCCAAACACTAGCTTTTGACTGCATTAGAACCAAATTTTGACTGCTGTTTTTAGAATAAAAATCTTAAAATGAGAGCTTCAAACATACCTGAACAAACACTGAGCTCAGTCCCAGCACCTGGAAGGTGAGGACTGAACCAGGGGTGACAAATCAGTTCTTTAAGAGGCTAAAGGATCTCTAAGAGGATAACCTCTCATTTTTTAGCCTTTTTTCCCCCTAGAAGCAGGTTTTCCATCCCACCCAACTCACTTTCACTCACACAAGCACTTCTAGCATCTCCTGGGCCCCTTCCTGGAGCCACGGGAGCTGCTGCAATCCGCTGGAGAAAGCCAAGTGGCTCCCTGATGTTTCCTTTGCTAAATGCTTCTTAACTATTTCACAGAGCCTGTTCCTGGCAAGGATGTGACAATTCAGCACAAATGTCACCAAGCTGCTAAGTTTGCAGCCCTTTCTGCAGTGCTGAGGCTGGAAAATGGTGCATATCAAAAGGTGCTTTCTTTTTTTTTTTTTTTTTTTTTTTTTTTTTTTTTTTTGCTGATCCAAGTCCTTAGTAATTACACTTAATAGATCCCAGAGGGATTCCTAGGTAACCTGCACTCTGGTTTCCATGGCAGAGAGGCAGAGCTTGTACCCTGTGATAACAGATAATAATGGATTGCTAATGCTTAAATTAATTATGCCACAATTGCATTTGTAAACCAGCTGTCCATCGTATTCCCAGAAAAACTCCGGAGTTGCTACACAACAGTTCCAGGATAAAAACAAACAAGGCAGAGGGGCAGGAATTACTCTACAGCTACAATTACCGTTATTACTCCTGGGCCATAACCATGGCTTATTCCTATTTTAGTGTTTCCATGGGGTTAAGGTCTAAGTTTCTGTTCTTTAAGGTTGGAAACAAAGATTAAAAATCCTTGAAGATCCAACCTGTTGATAGAGAAGGATCCTTTTGCCCAGCTGATATTGGTGTAGATTCTCATTCTTGGCAGATGTTTTCCTCCTCCTGTGAAGGACTCCAGGGATATTATTGTAAAAAAAAATTGAAATTTGGCCCCACCAAACTGTGACAGCAACAAGCAAAGCTGCAAATCAGGGGCTGTGTCTCCTCTTTTTAAAGGCTCCTGTTGGAGGTTGGAACACAGTGGGAAGGGTTTAAAAGCCACTGGTTTTAAAGCACTGGTTCTTTGCTGCAGCAAAAGGAAGTTCAGTGCCCTGCAGCCAGGCTGGGCTCAGCAAAGCCTCTCCCCAAAGCTCAGCTCCAGCACTGATCCATCTCCTGCCCAGGCACGGAGCAGGAATGATGCTCAGTGCTGTCACATCTGCCAGGCCATCCCTGCCATGGGAGGGGAGAAGGGCAAACCTTCCCCCTGAGCAGAGGGAAAGGCAGTGAGACCTCATGAGACAGAAATCAGGCAGACAGAAGCATTGAGAAGTGCAGCAGGATCCATAATTGGAGCTAAAACAGAAGCTTTGGAGGGGCAAAACTGCAGCTGCCATTCCCTGCCATTCCCACCTGGACAGCAGCACAGGGAAGAGGGGGTTAAAAACAGGGAGCTGTAAAAAGGAGGCAGAATTTGTGTGCTGAATTTGAGTTGGTTGGTTCCCACCCCAGCCTGGTCATCCTGTTCCTGGGATGGGAAATGTGGCAGATCCCATGGCTGCAGTGGCAAAGGAAGGATTTTCTCCTGCCCCTGCCCTTCCCAGGGCTGCAGGATGCTGGGATGAGGATCCCAGCCTGAGCAGAACCTCTGTGCACGGGGATCCAGGCGTGCTGCTGTGAGCAGGTGTTGGATCCCCCCAGTTTTCCAGCTGAAGGCACAGCTTTGATGCCCTGTGTGTAAATCACAGAACCACGGGATCATTTACCTGGAAAATGCTCTGGAATTGAGTCCCACCATTCCCCCAGCGCTGCTCTATGTCCCCAAGAGCCACATCCACGTGGCTCCAGGGATGGGGACTCCACCACTGCCCTGGGTGAAGAATTACTCCCGAATATCCAATCTGAACCTCCCTGGTACAACTCGAGGCTGGTTCCTCTTGTCCTGCTGCTGTTTCTTGGGAGAAGTGAGCAGTGAAGGCTGAGCTTGCTCCCCAAAGGGCTGGACCTCGGCTGCATCCCAAAGTGAGGGAACAGGGAATTGGAGCAGGGGCAGCGCTGTCTGTGCTGTTTTGGCAGGGAATTCCTCCATGGAGCAGCCCAGGAATGGGGCTGAGCCCTCCCTGGCTGCAGGGCCGGGGCAGGAGCTCGTTCCGTGCCTCGGCGGGGCCGTGCCAAGGCAAACAATGACACTGATAATCGCCTGCAATCTGTTATTATATTACCAGCAGCTCAAAAACCCTAAAACCCAATAATCTTCTGAAATGCAGCTAATCCCTCCCAGCGCCAGCAAGGCTGGGCTTGGCACGGCCGGGCTGGGGAAGGGAAGGAGCAGCGAGCAGGGGGTGGTTGCTGCCTTTGGAAGCTTTTCGTGGCACAGGAGGAGAGGTTTGCCGGGAGCAACCAGCCCTGGATGGGTACCTGGCTGCTCTCCGCAATCCCTGCCTTGGCTTGGCTGCCTTTGACCCTGTTGCTAAGCTACAAATATGCCTTTCCAGCAGGCTCCAGCATCCTCGCTCCCACCCACTCCCAAACGCCAGCTGAATCAGGCTGCTCGGAACAGAAATCATCCCCGGGCAGCCGGGAGCTACTTTTTCCCGTTCCTTTTCCAGCAGCTCCGCAGAGCCACCCAGGAAAAGCTCCCAGGGGGTGCCCAGCCCTGTCCCCGCTCCATCCCAGCGACGTGGGGAGCGCCAGGAGGGGGCAGGAGCCTGGGGAAAAGCGTTTGGAGCATGCCAGGGCTGGGATGCAGCAGGAATAGCTGAGGATCCCAGCGGCTCCAAGAAAAAGCAACCACCCACCTGCTGCCAGCAGCACCCGCCCTGTGCGAGCCACGCTCACACCGTGGCACCAGGGATGAGGTGCCAGGCTGGATAAGGTGCCAGGCTGGATGAGGTGCCAGGATGGATGAGGTGCCAGGGATGTTTTCCTGACCGGTGTCCTGCAGAAGGATGTGTTGCAGGGTTGGCTGCAGTGCCCTGATGTTCCTGGGATGTTGGTGGGGTCCCACGGGATTGTCCAGCACGTGCTCCAGGGGAAGCAATGGATGTTCCCCAAGGGATTGAACCATTCCTGGGATGTCCAGCCCAGCTGGGGTGGGGGTGTGCACAGGGCAGCTGCAGTGGGGCTCCTGCAATGCTTTCCAGGTGAAATCACAGAATCCTGGGATGATTTGGGTTGGAAGGACCTTAAAGCCCATCCCATCCCACCCCTGCCATGGCAGGGACATCGTCCACCATCCCAGGGTGCTCCAAGCCCCGTCCAGCCTGGCCTTGGACACTGCCAGGTGGTTCCCAGGAACTTCATTCGGTCCATATAAACTCAGGAAAGGTTATTAGAGCATTCCCAAAATACTGCCTGAACATGGACCCCCATGTGCTGGCCTGATGTCCAGGATACCTGGAAAACAACTGTGTTTACTGGGAAATATCCTGGACACTTCAAGCCATCCCCAAACCACTCTAAGATCCCATATAACCTGCTTTTTTTTTGTTGTTGTTTTTTTTTTTTTTTCCTTTTCATTGACCACCTAATAAACAATCAATTTTAGTTGTGTTTTTAAGGCCAGAATTCCTATGGGAGTGGCATGTGATGAACCATGATCCATCAGGGGGTACAGCCAAGTGTTTGTTTGGCAGCTTCAAAAATCCTCCAAGGGTTCCTGGACACTTTGGGAGGTGTCACTTGGGATCTGTTCATCCCCAGAGCCGCCTGGACTCCCCAGAGCAGATTCTCCTGGATTCTCCCCAGATTCTCCTGGAATCCCTGCAGAATTCCAAGGATCCATCTAACTCCTGTCCTTCTCTTTCTCTTGCAGGGTTCAGCTCCCATCCTGGTAGTCATGGTGATCTTACTAAATATTGGAGTCGCCATTTTGTTTATTAACTTTTTCATCTAATTCAAGACTGTCTTGTTTGCAAAAATAACAGTTTGATGTATGAATGGGGGAAAAAAAAAACAAAAACAAAACAAACAAAAAAAAAAACCAGAACCAAACAACAACAACAACAAAACAAAACAAAACAAAAAAACAAACAAAGGGAAAAATCGTAACTCGAACTGTCCTCTGACAATTTCCAAGTCTTTTCACAGAAGAACAACAAATGATCGAGTCTCACTCACAGTTTGCCTTTTTTCCTGGGTAATGTTTTTTGGATTTTAGCCAAAATTCTTTGCTTGTATAACACTATGCTGTGTGGCATGGCAAAATGCTATCAACACTCTGCCCCCCCCAACACTGGGAAGGATGAGAAGGAATCCCAACAAAAGAAAAAACCTCGTTTCCCTTCCCTTCACCCCCCCCCCCAAAAGGAAATAATTGTCTTTGTAACAACAGCAATGAACCCCAAAATGGAGATGAGACGAGGGGACTATGGGGAGAGTTTGGGTGGAGTGGGCACGGGTTCTGGGATGCTCCAGGCTGAGTTTCCCAGGAAAATGCACAACAGCTTTAATGATAAATGGGAGAGAAAAGCAAAATCAGGCTTTTCACCTTTTGGAAATGGAGGAATGCTGCTGTGAGAAGGAGGAGAGAAGGAGCACAGGGAAGGAATGAACCCTGTCTGGATGGGAAAATGGCAGAACAGGCCCTGTTCTGATCCTTGTTTTTAAAACAAAAATTGGCTTTTTGCAGAATTCTTCGGGGCAAGGGGGGAATAGGGAACACGAGGTGTGAGCAGCAGCCCCAGCACCCTCCTGCCTTCACTCCTCCTCCCCAGGCTGCTCCTCACCCATGGCAAGGCAGGAAAACCACCCAGAGCTACTTTTAATTCACAGCCAATTTCTCCTGGCTAAAAATTCCTCCAAAAAAAACCTTGGAGGCACCTCCAGCAGCACAGACGGAGTGGCTGGTGGTGCCGTGCTGGTGAGGAGCATCCAGCCCATCCCAAAAAATGTGCACAGGGAGCAGGGTGGGGAGGTCCAGGGGACAGAGGGCTCAATTCCAATCCACTGAGGATGACAATAAAACAAAACCAAGCAAAAATCCAACTGTTTCTCAAAGGCACCTGGGGAGGAGCACCTGGAGCATGTCCCAGAGAGGAGGGAGAGGGTGGTGGGTTTGTCTCTTACATCTTGCTGTGGACTGTTTCAGACATCATGCTTGGGCTCTGAGCATGTAGTATTTTGCACTTTGTAATGCAAGATGTATATTCCAGCTTCCAACATGTCCCTGTATTAAAAAAAAAAAAAAAAAAAAAAAAAAAAAAGAAGAAAAAAAAAAAGGAAAAAAAAAAGAAAATCAAACCAAACGTCATTGGCAATGGCAGCCTCTAAAGATGTATTTTCTTTCTTTTTCTTTTTTTTTCTATGTCACTTAATTTGTTCGTTTCTACCATCTTTGTACTATGCCTGCCTTGATTTTTGTCCCCTCCCTGTCCCCACGGATAATCTGCATACTCATTAAAGATGCGTATCCCTGTTCTGAGCTGTCCTGGTGCCGATCACAGCGTGCTCCCAGCTCCAGCCCTGGGCAGCGGCGTTCCCAGAGCTCCCATCCCTCCCCTCGGTGCTCCCCCACCAGCAGCTCCCACGGCTCCTTTGGGATTTGGCAGGACCAGGGACCAAATCCCACCCTCATCCCCCCCTGCAGCTGCAGCAGGAGAAGGGTGCAGGAGGGTGGCAGCTCCCGAGGGGGGTGAGACCCTCCCAGGAGATTTTGGGGGTGGGGAAGGAGGGAAAAGCCCTCCCCGACATTCACGTCCAGAGTTGTTGGATCCAGCCCGGACTCGTGGACTCAGCTTTGCTTTGCTTCTGTTTTAGCTGTTTCTCTGCTACCTTTTCAGCAGATTTCTTATTACACTGCACTGGATTGCTATATTTTTAACCAGAAATAAACTAAGGATTAGAGCATGTGCCAGTTAAATTCAGTTCTTTTCCTTACATGGTCTGATTCCCTCCTGTCGCAGTTTTGCTTCCTCTTCTCCTTCCTTTTCCTTTCCAGGCACAAGGCTATGGGTGGACAGGGGAAAGGATAATTTTGAAATTCCATTTTCCACAGTAACTGTCCATCATCTTCCCACCTCTTCCTTTTTTTGTGTTGTTTTGGATTTTCCTTTTGGGTCCTTAGTCATAATTTTTTTTCCCCTCCTCAAGGCTTGCTGCACACTTGAACCAAAAAAACCCATATATTGGGATTGCAGCCTTGGGAATTCACCCCTGGGATTTGGAATTCTGCTCCTACTCTTTGGAAAGACTCTCGAGGACTTTTTTTTTTTTTGGTGCATTTGAGTGCAGGGCACAAAGGTCCTGTCAGGAGCAGGTTAAACAGAGCCCTGCAGACACAGATATTTAGATATCTGTAAAACAGCACCAAAATGCCTCTCGTTATCCATCAAATAAAAGCACTGGTGGTTTCCTGACTGGATTTTTCCCCCTGCTGCCTGCCCAGTTATTCCTGCTCTTGCCCCTGGACCAGCACAGGATTTTTCAGCTCTGTTCCACTCAGTCAAGCTGAAGTTTGCTCAGTAGGAAAGACAGCCACAGACTAATATTAATTGGCTTCCAATCCACACGGTCCAAAATAATGATTCCTTTCTTAATCCCGGGGAGCTGAGCAATTTGTCTCAGTTCTGGGCTTTTCACATTTGCCCAAGGCCAGAAATATTCCTGAGAAGTAGCCCAGAGAGAGAGGTAATTCAGTGTATTTCCCTGTCTTATGAGCCTGGCTCCTGCAGATCTACCTAAGGCCCATAAAAATGCCCATCAAGGTGGGCCATAAATCCAGGGAAATTATCCAGCCCTGCTGCTTTATGTCCAGGCTGGCAGCTGCACTTGGTCAGTTGAAGGTTTGGATCATTTTTTAAGGCTGCACTGGAATTTTTATGTTCTGCCAGCACGAGAAGGGGCTGGCACAGCAGACCCATTGGGAAGGGGGAATTTGGGAAGGGAGATTTGGATCCCACCTGTGTGAGAGGGGCTGCTCCAGCACTGCATCCTTGGGAAAAGCAAGAAGGAAGACAAACGCTCTGTGCCACGTCAGCTGCTCCCAGCCCATCTGGTGTCTGGGTGGTTGTACCCAAGACCCAGATTCCAGCACTCCCCAGAGCCCCAGCTTGCAGAGATCCCGAGCTGTGGCAGCATCCCTGCCAGGAAAACAGCCAGACTGCATCGGAAGGGGAGGAGCGACAGCAGAAACAGGGTGGGACCCACGGCGAAGGGCTTAATTGAGACCTAAGGACTAATTACACACGGCAGCTTGGAAGTCCAAGGAGGATGGAAAGCAGGGATTTTTGGAAGCTGTCACCCAGAACGGGGTGGCTCCAGAGGGCTGTGCTGAGGCAAGGATGGAGCAGGAATGGGATGGGATCTCCTGAGCTGGGGGTGAGGGGTTTGCAGAGAAAAGAATCCTGACAGCTTTTCCTGCTTTAGGGAACAGCTCAGCTCCTTGCACAGCTCCTGAATGACTGCAGCAGCTGTGGGATCATCGAATCATGGAATGGGTTGGGTTGGAAGGAATCTTAAAGCTCATCCTGTCCCACCCCTTCCATGGGCACCTTCCACTGTCCCAGGCTGCTCCAAGCCCCATCCAGCCTGGCCTTGGGCACTGCCAGGAATCCAGGGGCAGCCACAGCTCCTCTGGGTACCTGTGCCAGGGCCTCCCCACCCTCCCCAAAACTTTGCACAGAAAGATGTGAACTTACCCAAGTGAAAGAACAGGGTGAGTGACTGAGCAAGCTGAGGGATTCCTTCCTGGATTAACAAGAAATGCTTTTTCACCTTTCCGAGATCATCAATAAATGCTTTGTTTTCACTTTTCCCAAATCATCAATAAATGCTTCTCCCAGGTTATGAGTAAATGGTTTGTTTTCACCTCTCACCTGTTATTTCATGGGGAAGGTCCCTCCCTGCCAGCCATGTTTTTATCTCACCAATTAAAGCTCCCTGTCAGCTCTATTTAATCTTCCTTCTAATTAGCCTGGCAGATCCCAGCCCTGCTCTCTGGAGAGCTGCATCCCCAGGGATGGCCCTGCCACAGCAATACCCAGGGCACCTGGAATTCCCTGCACAAGGACAGCCAGTCCTGGTGGCACCTCCAGGCATCACTTGGCTGCAGCAGCACACACTTGGATCCCATCTGTTGTCCCCAAGGACACAGCACTGCTCTGCTGGGAAGGAAAGGATGCCTTGAGGAGAGGGGTTGAAAACCAAAGCCTTGGAGCAGCTCACTCCTTCCTGGCCTCAGTGAGGTCTGCAGGTGGACATTTCACTGGTCATCAAGAGGTCACCTGCAGGACAACTGGGCCAACAGGGGGAAGAACTGAACTGGGACATTCCACAAAGGCAAAACTACAGTGAACATGGAAAAGGAAGAGGTTTCTGTGAGTGCATCTCACAGGTAAGGCAGGAAAGGATTCCCAGGTTTTTCCAGGCATCTCAGAGCTGCTGGTGCACTTTACACTGCCTGCAGATGTCACAGCAGGAACTGCAATCCCTCTTCCACACCAGGAGGAAAACAAGAACAAAAGCTGGGATGGGATTTACTGAGCAAAACAAGGTGATATAACCAAGTGAGTTTATTGTAGGAAAACCTGGAGACATGTCCTGACCCCAGTCAGGAATCTGGGACCAGTGAACCATTGTCATGTGCACAGTTGTTCTGAAAGACCCCAAACAACTTTGCAACAACAAAGTCAGTGTTGTACAGCCCAGAACAAGCAGAACAAGTGCTTGGACAGCAATCCTGTTCCTCAAGAGCCTCCCACAGCATTTCCAGGAGTACCAGCACATCCAGAGCATCCATCCAGGACAGTCAGCCCAGAGCTGGGCAAGGCTGGAGCCAGCAAGGACATGGGGCTGAGCTCAGCAGGGCTGGCCACTGCTCCCAGCACGTTCCTTCACTCCAGGAGCAGCCTCAGGACATCTGGATGGGATCTTCATAGAAAGTCTTGGCCATGGCATGAGCCACCTTGAGCACCTTCTTGTCCTTGGCCTCGGGGCCCATGTGGCTGCGGGCCAGCCCGAGCCAGTACTGCTCTGTCCTGGCCAGGTACTGGGCCTGGGCCTCCCCAGGCTGCACTGCTGGGTGCTGCTGCTCCCCTGGGCAAAGAGAGGCACACAGAGGTCACACACAGCTCACCAGGACCACGTGAGGCTGAACGTAACAGCCTGAAAATCTACCAGCAGGAAATTTCCTCTTTTATTCCAAGAGCAATGTGTTAGGAAAGCTGCTTCTGCTGGAAACTCACCTGGATGCCAGGGAGACCCTTCCAGGCTCACAGCACAACCAGGCACTGCACTAACCCCACTTCAGATTAGTATGGAGACAGCATTTATTAGTAATTACCTTCCTCATCTTCACTCTCCTCTTCAGAGCTCTCCTCTTCTTCCTCCCCTCCCTCTGCACCTTCCACATCATCATCCTCCTCTTCACCTGACTCTGACTCCTCCAGCCATTCCTGGGTTTCTTTGATGACAAAGGAAAGAGAAGAGAGGCACAAAGAGGGAATTAAGGTACAAAGAGATAACCCCAGGTTACCCCACATGCTCTGCAGGACCCAAGCCCTTCACTGCCCTGAGACAGTGGGGACAGGCAGGAGCATCCCAGTTCCCTGGAGGAGTGGACAAGGCTGGCACAGCAGGATTCCCAGGATGGCTCATGCCACCACAACTCGTTTACAGCTCTTGGATTTCCAAGTCACAGGGCAGAGCTAACTCTGCAGTGACCCCAAAGCTCTGGGCCACACAGGTAAGACACTTTTCCCTATCCAGAGAAAACCTCCACTCAAAGGCTCTCCACCACCCCTGAGGAAACCCCACAGTTGTTTTTTTCCCCCAGTGTTGCTGCCCTGAAGGCACAGGGAGAGCTCCCAGCAGCAGAGCTTACTTGGATCCATCTCCAGCAGCACCTTCCACTGGTCCATCCTGTGCAGGTCGATGCTGTGCAGGTCACTGAGGGTCACCTGGCGGTCACCCACCTCGAACATGCCCCCATAAACGTAGAGCACCCCGTGCTTCACTGCCACCATGGCACTGGAGCGTGGGCACGGCTCCACGGGCTGGCCCACGGCTCCACCTTCCTCCTCCTCCTCCTCCTCCTCTGAGCAAGACCTGTCCTTGTCTTCTGCAGCTCCAGGGATCACCTGCTTGATGGTCATGACGGTGCCATCTTCTGCCACCACCTCCTTGACGATCTCCAGGGGGCCCTGGGGAGGTGGCAGCTGCAGCTCCTCCCCTCCAGCAGCCTCTGCCTCAGCCTGTCTGCCACGCCTGCGCTTCCTCCTCTCTGATTTTGGGCCCTGAGAACAGGAATTGAAGGACATTTTGTGGGATTGCATGCACCTAACGTATTCATACACAGAGGGAAGGGACAATTCCTATTTTTCATCACAATTTAAAGTCTCGAGTGAGCAGTGCAGTTCCTCCTACAGCATGAGCTTCTCCCAGCCTACAACAAGGAACAGTGAAAATCCTGGAGAATCCAGGGTGTGGAATTGCTCCCTCTGTTAAGAGAGGAGCAGCTCTCCTGCTCCCAGGTGCCACAAACACACAGAGGCCACTGTTCTGTGACAAGGGAAAGTAAACCACGATTTCCCGAAATCACAACAATTGCTGGGTGCTAAATTACAGCCCATTACCAGGCAGCACTCCAGGTCTTGGAAGAACTCTCTGAAAGGGCTGGGAAACAATCAGTTTGGGAAGGCTGAAGCAACCAGCTGAGTGGCTGTTTGCCTGTTATTATGGGATTGACTTCTCCATTTGGAGAACAAAGCCAGGAAGGGGCAGGGGGAAGGAGAAGCTGAACCAGGTTTGCACCTCCCTTGGCCTGTGAGAGTGGTTCAAACAAAATCAAAGAGCTGAGCTGAGCTCTGAAGCTCTTGGTTAATATTTCAAGGTTAATATTTCATCTCTTCTGGTAGCTCATCAGCACTGGGGAGAAAAGGGAGGGGCTTGATCCCAAAATCTTTTCACAACAGCTTTGAGTGAACTCTCCTTATGTCAGACTCATCTGGCCTGGATAGGATTTTCAGCAAAACACCAGAAATAGGTTTTCAAGCTGCTTTGCTTCGTTTTGCATTCCACAATAATGGGGCAGCCTGATTCCTGGAGGAGAGGGATTGCTCAGGTGCACCCTGAGCTACCAGAAATACAGAATTCCTTCAAAGAGAGAAAAAACCTTGCTCCATCCCTGGCAATGTCCAAGGCCAGCTTGGAGCTCATGGAAGGTGTCCTTGCCCATGGCAGGGGTGGAATAAGAGAATCTTCAGGGTCCCTTCCCACCCAAACAATCTGTGAAATCCCAAAGAGGCCAAACCAGCCATAAATGATGTGCCAGGTGATGAAATGACTGAATTATTGAACCCCAGACCTTGAGCTGTGCAGGGAACCAGCGGTTCTTCCCGATGTCATAGAAATAAATGTCATTGAAGAAGTCCCCCTCAAGGCTCTCCTCCTCCTCCTCATCGTGCACCCCCCCAAAAAGGAGGCAGCGGTTGTTGGGAGCAGCGGCCACGGCAAAGCCAGACCTGGGGCTGGGCTTCACTCCAGAGGGGCTGAGCCTGCTCCAGCTCCACCTGTCTGAATGGAGAGAAGAAATGTGAGCACCAGCAGAGGAGAATCCTGCCTGGTTTGTGTATTCCAAGGCTCTCAGAATTCCAGCAAAGAATTCTGATGCCTTGGAAGGCTGAGCTAGAGCAGAGGCTGGGCAGAGCTAAGGAATAAAGCAGGGATTTATTAACAGGATCTCCTCAGTGGATCCACCTTGGGCAGCACAAGAGGCCAGCCAGGGCTGCACCCAAGATGAACCAAAATGGTCCCAAACTGAATCCAAGATGAACCAAAATGGTCATAAAATGGGCAACTGGTCACAAGATCTCCCACTTTTATCAGTTCTGCTCCATTTGCAGATTTGTCCATTGTCCAATTCCAGCTCAGCCCCTGCACTCCCATCCTGCTTGTTTTTCTCTCTCCAGCCCACGGGGTTTGTGCTCTTGGGCTGAGATTTGGACCATTTGTCCTTGGTGCCCAGCTGGAGCAGGAATTGTTTTGTGTCCCTGCTCTGTGCACAGAGCTCACCATGCCCTGATGTGAACTCAGACCCACACACTAAAGCAGCACAGAACCTGAAAAACAGAAAAGGTAAAACCTGAGGCATCAATTCCATGCCCTGTTTTGGATATTCTCATGGCATCTTCAGGGTATTTCCAGAGCTTTCTGGAGCAAGGAGACTCTAGAAACTGTCTGCACCT